ACTCCAAATTTCGTTTTCAAGCTCATGTCATCAGTGATTTCATGTGCATTTAATAATTGAGTGGGATATATATATATATATATATATATATATATATATATATATATATATATATGACGTATAAGACTGGAAATTGATCACACCCACCAATCAAGCAGAAATTAACGAGACATTAATTTAGAATTCCAAACTTTCGTTTATGTGTATAACAAATAATTAAATTAAATTGAACCTTCTCTATATATAACCTTCTTGAATGTTCCATTCGGATTAAGTCGTTGAAAGAAGAAGTGTTTGTTCTGTTCAGTTTCTTCGTGATCATGATTCGCGGTATTTGTCGTGAGCGGATTCGGACGAATATTAATGTAAACTGATCAAATTGACTGGTCCATGAAGGTGTGTAACAGTATCAGACCTATAAAAAATAGTTACGAACACTGACCGAACTAACCGATTTATGGATGTGTGTAACAATATCGGAATCATAAAAAATAATTAGCCGGTACAGCAAACCATGGTCATGACATAGTTAACTATTGAATATGCATATAGTTATAAAATCATGATTTCTTTTTTACTTCTCAAAGTAATTCAAATTTCGATGGAGCAAATGGGCGCGTGAGGTTTTTTCCAATTAAACTTTGGTCTTAGAGAACTTATAGACGTTAATATATAATAATTGATCATTTTGTTAATTTTTATGTTTGACCCGTTTCCTATGTTTTAAGTTAGCATTATAATATGTAACACATTTCATGAACATGGCTGAGGTAGAAGAAGGTAAATAATGAAAATCATACCTGATAACACGTCCAACATTAATATTATTATCCACATAACACAGATAATAGCAGAACCAGATAGTGCCAGGCACTTTATCTAGGTCAACATAGTGACCAGCAAGCAAAAAAACAAAACAGCTCGCTCAATCCCACTGTCCCACACAGTCACACACACACACATACACAATAATGGGAAATAATTAATTGGGATAGGAAGGAGATAATTAAGAGGACAGTAGGTTAAATTAAAAGAGATGGTGATGCTTTTTTCCATGAGACTCTTCATCCTCTTCCTTTGCTTCTTTCTTCTCATGGTGCTCATGGAAAACAAATCCACCAGCCCCAACTGCAACTGCAGCTGCTACCTCTTCCTCTATCTTGTGCGTGTGGGCATGCTCTGGATCTTTCTTTTCCTTGTGCTTCTCATGCTGCAGTGTGGATATATATATATATGCACGTATATATTAATGTATTATATCTTGGACAAAATTCAACCAAAAATAAAATAATTAATTGTAATTTTTTTTAGATCTTTTCCACCCAATGACAAGATAAATAAATCATATAATCTAATAAAAAAAAAAAAAAAAACTTATCATTTTTTCCCTCTCCTAACAAAAGGTCAAATCTTCATAATCACCCTCAAACCACATGCAAGGACGGACTTATTAAGGGCTTAGTGGGGGTCGTTGCCCCCACTGAATTTTTTATTTATTTACAAAATTACTTGTAAACTCTATGAAAATCTTATGAATATTACTACTTTTTTTTGAAAAAATCTATATATTATTGTTGTTCAAAATTGCCCCCTCTCATACAATTATTGACCATAGTTGATTGATGTTCTACAACATCAGGTTAAGCAAATACGTAACTCGATTTCAAGATATAATATATATTTTCTTTGCCAATGAATTTATACACTCATTTATTCTGACGGGGCTTGAACCCTCACTTTTCACTTTAGGAGGTCGAGGACTGTTTACAAAATTGAGGGTGTGCCCATGTTCGAGTCTCCACTCCCTTAATTTGCTAGGAGATTTTTTTTTTTTTTTAATAAATTACAACTTAATAGTTTACCAATATAACTCCATGATACTATTTTCTTTAATTAATTCTAGTTTGTTTGAAGGTAAAAATGCGATTTTATTTCAAATCCTTTGATTTTTTTTTTTTTTTTTTTTTTGAAATATGATTCCTCCACTATTTGGCTCCAAAGACTGTGTTTGGCATAGCAGTTAAAAGTGAATCTTAAACATAAGAAATGAAGATAATGTGATTTTTATAATGATCTCTTTTCTCTCCCCCTAAACAAACACGTCTAAAGGAGTGGTAGAACATTACCAAAGCATAAGCTCCGGCAGCAGCAGCACCGAGCTCGCCGATGTGCTCGAGGTGCTTGTGGTGCTTCTTCTCTTTCTTGTAATCATGGATGCCAGGTTCCTCTTCCTCCTTGTGGTGGTGGAAGAGGTGGTGCTTCTCCTCAGCCATGGTGGTGGTTGCAGAATACAACTATACAAAGTTAGTTGGATGTGTTGCGTAGTAATTGTGTTGGTTATGCAAATGCAAGGCTTTGGTAGTTCTATTTATAACCGATGATGGTATGCCATGGAGTTGGGAGTGCACAGCAAATGGTGAGATGGACGGTCGTGATTTTTTAATCTTCATCTACTACCAATAAATCAGATTTATTTTAAATATTTTTCAAAAAAATAAAATAAAATATTTTCTTTCTTTAATTAAGATAGCAACTGATTTGAGGTTGGCACCGTCCCCTGTTCAACCCCATTCAAGAAAACTGCCGCGCACATCTGTCAAAGTAATGAGAAAATGAAATATTGGAAATTATTAGTATTGTGAAATAAATATACAGAATTTACAGTGGATGACAAGTTCAAAGTTTCATATTATTGAGTTCAAATTGAGTGCATTTGATCATCACTCAATGCAAAGATCAATCCACTTGAAATTAGAAATGGATAAAAATTAGTTGGACAACAATTATGTTCTACTCAAGGTAAATTAACCTCTAGCAAATATGCTCTTGAAGGGTACTACAGTCATTTCACTTGTCAAATAATAGGTTACAATTCCCACTAATTACCAATAACAAATTAAGGCAATATTGTAACCAATAAAGTCAATGTTGGTGTCAATTCAAAAACCACTAGCAGTCTAAAAGAAATTCCAACAGATTTTAGTGGGAAAAAAATAAGCCAAGAAATTAATTAATGGCCGGGGGTGGAGCCCTTTGAATGGCAGTTGGAGCTTACTCACGTCGGCAAGCGAATATTATCCACAAAAGCCCAGATATTCTGTGTTGAGCCAGGGCCTCATACCTTTTATGCGTGTGTGTTTTTCGTGTGTGATATTATCCCACCTCTAAAAGCCTCCCATAGTCTTTTATGGGTGTGTTTTGTGCGTGTGGATGTCGATATTATCGCAGCTCATAAAGCCTCCCATAGTCTAATTCCATGGTCACATGTAACAGACAATTACGTAAATTTTCTATGAAAGCCATTTAAAGACATTCGAACTTATCAATCGTCAGTGACCTAACGATATCAGTTTCTTACTTCTTAAAGAAAGGTCAGAGATTCAAGTCTCAATGAAGACGTTTGTGTGTAAATTACCAACTAAAAAAAAGAAGAAGAGGCATTCGAACTTTCAACATTCAAAATGCAATGCAAGAGCTTTATGATTAAGTTACCTTAAGAGGCATGTTTTATTACTTTCCTAGAAGCTTGGTGTGATTCATAGGGATTACAATTTATTGGGGCTTAAATCAGTTACCTTTCTTTTGGATGACGAGAAGGATGCGTCCAACTGATTTGTTGTGAAACAACCTCCGAGTAGGGTTGTAATTTGGGCTGGCTCAATCTAGTCCAGTCCCAACCCAACCTCACGATTGAGGTTGGGTTGGGTCAACCCGAATTGTACTCAACATGGGTTATGGTCATAATCTGGACCGAATATTTTCGAATTAGTTAAGTCGGGTTGAGTTATTTTTTTTTTTGAAAATTTATATATATCATATATATATATATAATATTATTTTATATGTATTATATATATTTGATTATATTATTATAAAAAAAAATATATTTTTAGGGCAAATCATTTCAGCCCCCCCCCCCATTGCAAACTACAAAATCTATAAGAATCTGAAGTTCAAAACCCATATATTTCAATTTTATCTATCTGTGTGCAAGAATCAAAAGTTCAAAACCCATATCGGCATATCATTTCAGATTGTTCAAAAAATCAAAACCCAAATCTTTCAGTTTCCATTGCCCGCTGTTCTAGTTTGGGTTCGTCGTTCGCAAGCTTCAGCCACTGTCTCTCAACTCTCAAGCTTGCCCTCTTCTCTGTGCAACTCTCAAGCTTCAACCACCGTCTCTCAACTCTCAAACCCATATATTTTTATCAATTATTTCTAATTGTGAATCAAAAGTTCAAAACCCATAGCGGCAGAGGGGACGGCGGAGAGGGAAAGAGAAAGAAGAGAGAGAGAAAGAAGAGAGAGGAGAGAGAATTTGGGTTTCGGGTTGAGCCCGAGCCCAACCTGAATATGCCTGGATTTTGACTAAACTCAATCCGAACATGAACCCGATTTGTAAATATAAAGCCCAAATTTCAAAATTTCGGGTTGGATTTGGGTTGGACTAGGTTAACCCGTCCAAGTTGCAGCCCTACTCCTGAGGATAGAAACAATGAAAAATGGAAAATGATTTGAAGTCTGAATTCGTTTTGCAACGCTAGTTATAAGGGTCATTTATAAACTCATCTGCACAAACATTTTGTGAGGGTTGTGTAGGTCTTTCAACACAAAACTCAAAACAAATTATAATTATTGCAGCAGTTCTAATAAGGAATGTCTTGATTATGCTGCTCATCAAAGTTAGGATAGCCCTGTGAACTCACACAGACAGCAAAATACAAGTACATATTACCCTTTGAGCAGGTTAGTTCAGTTCTAGCCAAACTCGACCATGGTTATTCGGTTCAGGACCAACCTAATAACCAATTCATCTCATTTGCACCCCTTGTTCATTATATGTTAAAGGAATTCGGTGAGGAGCAATCAAATTTGGAGTAGGGAGATGTTATGTCGATGTATTTAATATTTTGAACATCATCAAAACCGAACAATGCTGTGTAGGACACTAAAGATAAATGACCTCACTATAAGTACAATATCATAAACTCTCCCTAGAATCACAGCAAAACCATATTTTTTTTGTTATTATTATTATTTTTTTTTCATGAACAATTCAATTCCCAAGCAAATCTGTAGCAGTCAAAGCATTCTGTAATAGTTTTGTTTGATTTATCAGCACAATTTACAATTACATAAATGAATTTCAACAATGTTTCCAAAACACAGTACCAGTGACTCAAAAGATGGTGAAATGATCACCTTGCATATCCTATTATCCTATGAGCTCCAGTATTCCAGTTGTAATTGTTTGATTAGATCAGTTTCCCAGTCTAACCTGCACACAAAAAATTAAAAATTAAAAATTAAATAAATAAAAGGAACTGCTGCAAGGGTCTTTAACAAAATATACATTCTCAAAAAAGTCAACGGAAAGAAATAAACTTCAAGTCAAACGAAGTATAAAAAAATGCACATATAATGAGGAAATGTTTAGCTTATATACATTGTTATCGTTCTATTTCAGTGACAATGGCCTTTCAATTTTTGTGAAAAAATTTGTGACCCCTCCCTTAAATACCTTAAAGTAAAAATTTTAAATATTTAAAATAAAATATCCATAATAGAGACAATTGTTCAGTCATATGAAACCCCCTGTTCTTTCGATTTTGATTTTATCACTCAGACGAAAGAATAAGGACTTAAATCTGCCTTAACTGATAAGAGGAAAGAAGGTTCACCATGAAAACTACAGGCTACTGCTTAACTTTTAGTGAGCCTTCAATCCGTTGGATGAGCTGGTCTGTAGTCAAAGCACCCTCCTGAAAAATAATTAGGCAGAATTACTACGAATCAGTACTCAAAAATCTAAAATAATAATAATAATAATAAAAACAAAATAAATTCAACCAAAATAAAAAGAACTCGAAAACTCGATTTCCTGTCAGAATATGTTGCTGAAGCAGTCTAGCGCTTCAGTAAAATTTGCAGAGAATGAAAAAGAAATGTTTCAACAATCTAAATTCAAAAATCTCAAAAAGAACTCCTACAGTAAGGAATGCACCTTGATGGATAATCACACACTTATATGGAGAATGAAAACATGAATGAAAAAATGTGCAAGCTAAATTACAAGTACGCATCTTTCACCATAAAATGGCACTCCAGAGAGATAAGCTGGAATTTCCACAAGCAAAAAATAAGATATATCCACTTACAAAGCGATCGTGGGGTTCCCCATCCTTAAATATGATGAATGTAGGCAATGCTTCTATTTTGTACTTATCAGCGATGCTTGGGTACTTCTCAGTATCAATTTTCACCACTTGGATCTTTTCCTTCATTGAAGCACTGACTTCATTAAGAATAGGAGCCATGAATTGACATGGACCACACCTGTAAGTAAGAGCTCAGGTAATCAACACCACACCATCATGTCTCCAGGAAGCACTCACCTAAGATCTCTACCTTACTCAGCGGCCTTATCAAATGGCTAAATTACTGTTACTTGCAGCAGTATGATCATGAAAGATTTGCTTATAACAAAAATTTAAAAGAAAATGATAAGGAAAAGAAAAAAAAAAGAAAAAAAGAAAAAGAAAGAGGATGCATTATTGTAGTGATTAAGTGATTATGAATAACTAGATGATCATATAGGGTACAGTATTATCAGAGACAAATCCCATTCTTGATTTATTTATTTCAGAGAGAGATGGGCCACTGCTCAATTAAAGAAGATTACAAGAAAGGAAAAAATACTTGCCAAGTTGCATAGAAGTCAACCAGGACAGGTTTGTCAGAATTTGTCAATAAATCGTCAAAGGAAGAAAATGTTTGCTTCTTTGCTTCAACCTGTTGCCCAAACATACAAATGAACCATCATTACAGGAGGTTAAAATTAGTAATCCAAACCATACCTAAACATGGTAAATACAGGAGGATGCATAAGTATTGGGGAAAAAATTAATAGTCAAACAGTCAATTTCAGCATTTTTGTTGCATCCACAAAGGTTCCAATGGCAATGGAAAGAAAGGAAAAACAACAGATCTTATAGGAAACTCAAACTGATGAGTGAAAAGAAGTAAGTTATGGACTTGAAATTCATCAACCTCATAAAAAGCTTAAACTGATAGTATATTGGTGGCATAACATTGAAGAGTTATAAAAAACAATTAGCCACCATATTTATGAAAAGAAAACATGATTGTATACTGGAAGAGCCAATTTAACAATATTGTTTAATGCAGCACAATGTTCCAAAAAAGGAGGAAAAACTTGTATTACACAGAGTAAGGAGACAGCTTCAGAGCAATCCACACTCACCACTAATACTATGAAATTTTCACAAAATAGAATTTTGCCACTCTTTGCCTTCTAACTTCAGTGAGAATTGAGACCCATCTAAAAGAAGACACTTTAACAATGCCAACTAACATTAGGAATACAAAAACCCCTTGAAAAAAGAGCACATATTCTTTCAGAATTTAGAATTGCAAGGAACCATAGAAATAGGCTATTTCAGACACCAAGTTTCAATGAACCAGTTCAGAGAGAGGTCCCCGAGCAACTGCAGCCTCTATGGATATCTATTAAAGGATAATTAGGTCTCTCAAGGAACGAGACAGCTGACTTCGGATCCCGGATTTTATTTGCAAGCTGTGTTTTGGTTATTGCAGAGAAAGGTGTGTGATTAATTCAAAGAGTAACAGTAATCTCCCTACTTTACTATAGCCAAAAGTGCATGTTTGGACAAAATGATTTTTCGGTTGCAAGGGGGTGGTAAAGAATCTAGAAATATCCTCCAATTAAGATACTTCCATATACACCAGAGGAAATAGTGGAGAGCAGTGATCTCAAAACTCTCAGTTATGAGGCCTAAACACCTTTACCAACAACCCTTAAAATTTTTGATTCTCTATTTTTCTCCAAGCAATTCTAAACAAAGAGAAAATGGGACACCAGACTTCAAATGTAGCACATCACGTCTTGGATTTGGAAATTATGAATGGTCTTGCACTATCTTTCTATATACAACTATTTGCAACCAACCATTTTTAATTTATCAAGATAAACCTATGTTACATTTAATGATTACTTCAAATTAAAATTTGAACTTCGGAGGAGATATTCAAGCTCCAGTTCCCCCAGAATTTCCTCAAAATTCAAAACCAGGACTTTTGGCCAAACAGCAAACTAACTGCATCCACATATCCTAGCATCCTCTTCACACATATTCATTTTGTCACCAGGTAAACCCAGTCGAAGCAGTTAATCCACATATTTAATTCCCAGTCAGTTAGCAAACTTTTTAGAAATGTCAATTGCAATGTGGTTTGCCACCACCAGCCTAGCTGACCAATTGCTGCATCCTTATTAAAGTCAAGGAAATCATCTCTCGATGAGCGAGCTTCAACAGAGAGTCCCTGTGCCATTTATCATGTCAAGACAACTCTCAAAACAATATCTTTCCTCGAAGTGTCAAAAGTTGGAAAATTGACCAAGTAAAACATCAAGCAGTGCACTCTTGCACCAGTCTATGCGGCTACTGGTTTGATGCAATCCAAAACAGTGAGTACTTGCATTGGTGGAGATGCACCAGTCCAACTTGCTTCCCCCCAAAAAAATTTCTAATTCCACAAAGCAATTGCACCTGTGTAACCCAGTCCAGTCGCACTGGTCCAAGTTCTTGTACTCCAACTAGGACTTTACATTCCTGTCTTAAACTCGTCTTGACTCTTGCTTGATCTCTAAAGGCAACATCTTTTAATTAGAAGAATTTTTCAACAAAAAATCAAAGCTGTTGCTTTAGCTCTAAGGCAACATCTTTCAAAGCTTTTAGAAGATTTTTTCAAACAAAATCAAAATCAAAGAATATCAATTCCCAAAATTATATAGTAATTTATTTTAGTATTTTTTTTCAGGATAATTATGTCTTATTTTTTTGGTTGGTCTGAGGTACGAAGTCTTTCAACAAATATAGTCAACCCAAACAAACTCTCTCTTTCTCTCTGACCCAACTTCCCCGAGTAACTCAACTCCGAATTCCAATTCCCAAACTTTGACCTGCCAACACCTCCTTAAACCCTTCAACTAGCTATTATAGAAAGCCAATGCAATTTTGAACTTAAAACAAACATTAAAAGATCAATTCACAAGAGAAATGTAAAATTCGCAACAAATCCCGCAATTATTATTACCAAAAATCAAGAATTTCAAGCTCCAAAAAGCTTAATCAGTACAATTCTAACCGCAATAAATCAGAGAAAAAGTAACAAAGAAACAAATTCGCAAAAAAATGTTGAGTGGAATGAGAAATTATCACCAGAGGAAGCATTCGAGTCCGCGAATGAGACGAAAACCCTTTGTTTCCAATTCGCAAACCCTGAAACTGTCCAGCGAATCGCAGAGTTGACAAGTTCAAAAGCTTAGATGAAGACGATGATGACATACACTTGGTGTGGTCCCAACTCAGCGAGTGAATTGTAGCCGCCGTCACAGAAATGGCCATCTTTTTAGAGAGAGAGAGAGAGAGGAGAGCGAGCCCAAAACGTTGGGAAACGCAGAGAAACGAAGAGAGAATTGAAAAGATATTGGTCTCGCGTCGAGAGACCAGAGATTTCGTTGGAGAGAAAAGATATGGTGTGATCGTTGTGATATAACATGATAGATTTAATGGGTTACGAACCGTTCGTTTGGTTTGGACCACGATACTGGCTGCATCAAACGGTAGATCTTTGTGTTGTCTGTATTTGGTCGATGGTGTGGTGAACTTAACCATTTTTGTAGCCCTTCTACAGTACAATTGACCAGGGCAGGCCTGGCTCAGCCCGAAAATGGGAAATCTGGGCCCATGTAGGCCCAAAATTTTTGGGTTTATCGATTTCGGGCTTGCGATAATTGAGAGACCCAAGACATCCTGCGGCCTGCGGGCCTCTTGACTGGCCAGGCGTCGGGCTTCAAATAGATTAAAAACTAAATCCTCTATTCGGGCTTACTTGAAAAAGAAAAATACGTGAAAAATTATAGTCCAACAGTATGATCTCTCGTCCCCATTCTTAAAGGAAAGATGAATAGTTTAAGCTTCGGAATGAATAATTTGTGAAATGTATGTGAATACTTACTGGAGAGTCAAGTTCACGACGATACAAATGCGCTCGAGTTCACGATGACAGGAATTAGCTTGATATCAAAAGCAATCTCTCTGTGCTCCAAGAGGAGGCAACCATTACAATGATATGATACCAAAAAATTGAACCAAAATAATTCTTTAAATAACAAAGGAATGGTATTTTCTGAATTTTGATTCTTAAGAATTTTGTGGGACCGCTGGAAGAGAAAAGACACAAGTCTTTTTTGAAATTTGAAAATCTCATAGGGCACATGAGTTATAAAATGAGAGGTTTTTTTGGGTAAGAATTAAGTGAGGGCATGTTTATAAATATTAAAGTTTTTGTATGGAAATTACAAGTACGAGAGGGATGCTGTTTGATAACTTAATTCTGAAAAAATTAAATGATTATTTAATTGTAGCACGGTTAATGACATAATTGGAATATCAATCAAAAGAATAATTCTGCTTAAAACGAGATAAAAATTTAAGGGGTTGTAGAGATTCAACATCTCTAAAAAGTGATAAACTTTTAATATTGAAACAAGTATCAAAGGTATGCACAATTTCAGTACTGTACTTTAAACTTTTGGTTTTATAAAACTAACCACCTTGTTCTGGTTTGTCATGCAGCTTGGACATTTTCACAGTGCTTTACATAAATCCATGATCTAGATTCCATGGCCTAAGTATTACAATTGGTTGCACTTGAACTGAAAAACAACTGATATAAAGAAAAGAAAAATCAAAGGTTATTATCCAGTTGTATTTTTTCACCTTTCAAAGTAAAAAGTTAAGAATTTAAGTACCTAAATGGTCAAGTAAGCGGGTCACGGGTGTGTGCCGTGCCTAGACCAGCATCATCGGCCGACTAGAAAAATTGACAACATGTTAGCATCCGTTATTGCCGGGGCGCGGTGGGTTCATTGATTCCTCACAGTAATATTCATGAATCATGAGATAGTGGTTGACCTTTAGAGAGGAATTAAAAGAATAGCATCTAAGTAGACAAAAGAGTCCTCCCCTCTATTTAGAACAATTTTAAAGTCTCAACAACCCACTGAAGAGCACAACACATAAAGAGACCCGGCCTAGAGAGCAATTATTATTTATTTATTTATTTTTGGTTATTGAAGCATCAATCCTTCCATTAGTCATTTTGAACTTTCCAACGGTTTGCTTATTCAGATAGTAAGTAATTGTCCACAAATTACGTGCATCATTTAACTTTAAATTTCACTTTTGATGAAAAATTGAAAATATAAGGGAAAGTACCCCTAATGATAGTTACCAATCGAGCTAGTCCGTGCGCAGTGAGAAATAATAGTTTCAATTATTTCCTTCTAGAAAATACTATCACCAGAGTAGCATTGATACTAAACATTATTAAAAATAGAGGTCAAAGTCAGGGGCGGCTGCCCGGTTGGGTAAGGACCCCCTTTGCCTACTACTTCTTCCATTTTTATTTTATTTATTTATTTTTTTAATAAATTTCACATCAATATCTAACATAAATTTCTTTTATGTTTTATAATTTCACTTACCTTTTTTTCGGTCAATTTTGCCATTTCAATATTTGAAATGACAACAAACATTTTATAAGTAAAATAGTAAAATAATACGGAAAAGTCTATGTATAATAAGAGGAGGTAAATAAAACTTGGCTCTCTTTGTTTTTTTTTGGTCCAAGTAACTCTTAATTTTTCCAGTCTCATTATAAAGGTTTTCTAATTGAATATGTGGATAAATTTATTTAATTTGAAAAAAATAAATTCTCAAATTTAACTTTGTTTTGTGACAAAAATAATACCATTACATCCACCAAAAACATGAAGTTACAATTACTAATATTCAAAAAATAATCTTCACGATAGTAAATGATGCTATTTCTAGAAGCATCAACCTTTAAATCGCCTTCCAAGTCCTATAAAAACTCACAGCTTCAATTTGTAAACTTCACAAAACCTGCAGGATTGCTAGTATTTGGGCATTTGCACAAACATGTCCATTTCTTACCACAAGAGTCTTTCATTTCTATTTCTTGCCACCATTTCTACAAGCCTAAACCTTTTTTGTAGTGCTGATCCCACAGATGGATTCACCCTTGTGCCACTAACAGAACAGAATTTCATATTACAGAAACCCTACGACAAGCCTCTGCAGGAGCGCTAGAGTTTTAAAGATGGAGTTCGGAGTCTATGGGTCTACAACAACGACAAGCCCTTCAAAGCTGACAGTGGAACTAGGCCGCGCACAGAAATTCGCTTTAGCGTACTCACTTTCACTCTCTTCATCATACTTGTATACTTGGATCCTCTCCTATACAAGGAGGGTGGAGATCGATCTATATCTGTGGGGACCCCACCCCTCCTGAGGTGGTCCCACCCTTCCCACATGTCATGCACAGGACATGATAATAATTCTCATACCCATACGTAAATGTTAGTGATAGTACATATAATAACACAGTTCTAATCGGTGATGATTTTTATTCTCCTGAATTTTCTTGTAGGGTCTTGATTACACATATGGAGTGTGGCAATTTGAAGGGTATGCTTATGTGCCAAAGGGGACTTCTGGTGTCACAATAATGCAGATTCTTGGGGCAAAAGAAGCAGCTACAACTCTGCAACTCAGGATCTACAATGGCGATATGAAGTACTATAAGTTTGACGTGGTGGCTACGAATCTGTATGATAAGTGGTTCAGGATAAACGTAATTCATAATGTGGATAAAGGAAAGGTGACAATATTCATCAATGGTGTCCAAAAATTTGACACCAATGATAAAGGGCAAGGAAATTTCTACTTCGAATGTGGAGTTTATGCTGCACCAGATGATTCAAGCCACTACATGGAATCAAGGTGGAAAGGGATTAAAATTTATAAGAAGTGATGAAGGAAGGTTCTCTATACCCATATTGGCTTAGAGTGGTAGGAAAAAATGTAATAAAAGTTGAGTCGTGATTAAGTGTCCGAAAGTCATATCCGACTGCATTCATATGGGCGGAGATGATGTCATCATGACATCACGGTAATGTCATTCCCTTCTTACATTCCGATAAAGTCGAATACGTCACTTTCGAACGCTAAATATATGTTTTTTCATAAAAGTTTATGTCTACCAAATTAGTATCTTTGATAATGTGTACTCTGATCATGTGAAGGTTGAAGCACGATATAATAAAATACTTATATGCATCTATCTCAGAAATAGTAGAATTTTAATTCTGATTCTATTGCTATTACAAAGGGAAGATCGGAAAAAGGGCAAAAGTTTATGCCTTAAGAGTAGCTCAGATTTTGTAAAACTAAAAACGATATTGGATGCAGAGACTCTAAAATATAACTACTGCACAAAAGAACATTTTCAGCAGTTTGAAACAACAGTTTTGATTAGGAATCAAATTAACTAAGCTCCACGTTCAATTAAGTCCTAAAATTAGAAAATTAAGTTAGTATAGAAATCGAAGAAAATAATGATAAATTAATCACTGGGATTAAATCGATGAATTGAATTATAATAACCAATATCAATTTACGACTCTAGTACACTTAAATGTTGATATCAATTTTCAGCTCTAGTACACTCAAATGTTGGTGCATGGCTGGAGCACCGAAGAGAATTCACTGTTTAGCTTTCTTAGTTTGCTGCACTTCTCTGAAGTTATTAATTGGCTTGTGGATCAGACCAAGGGTCAGTCAGTGAGAAATAAACTGTTGAAATGTTGGTTTACATCCATTCTATGGAGTATTTGGAATGAAAGACATCGTAGAGTTCACTGGGGCACTTCTCACCATTCTCACCTTCTGACTATGGAAGCATGTTTTGAAGGCTTAACAGCCATGGAAAATAGCTTACTTGGTTTGTAATTCTGAGAATAGTTTTTTAAAACACAAAAAACAGTACAAAAAATTCTACTTGACTCAGTTTTCTGAAAACTCAGCTATAAAAAAAAGTAGGTGAAAAAAAAAAAAAAAAGCTATAAAAAAAAGTATATGTTTTTTATATTTATTTGAAAACAATTTTATGTTCCCTAAATTCCTAAGAACTGTCTCTAGAGTTATAAACCAAACAAATTCAATTTCTAATATTGAGATGCTGTTTTGAGTTTTTATTTTCGCTTGGTTAGATTTGGGGTATGCCCTGAACCTTCTATTTTTCTTTGTTGTTCTTGACTCTGCTTTTGGGGTTCTTTCTCTGTGTACCTTATTGCCTATTCTTTTGAATAAAATATACACATTCAAGGGGAAAAAAATTGTTGATCTCATTAGAAGGAGAAATGAAGACTTAAAAAGCCTACACTAGTTGCTTTATGAATATGGAAACTATGTAAACATTTTATTTTTATTCAAACTATACAGGTAGGGTGGCAATTCGTGTCGGCGTATTGTGTTCGTGTCGACACGATTACGACACGAACACAATTAGGTCGACACGAACATAACACGATTATTAATCGTGTTTAAGACTTTTAACATGAACACAATACGATTATTACACGCATAACA